TAGAATTGAATCACATTAGGTTCATTATTATTAGTATATGGGTTCGATATCAGCAAAGTATGGCGGGATATGACATAGAGCCCGTTTATGTTTACAATGTAATTGAGTGGTTAAAGTACTAAAAATTGTGAAATTATATTACGTTATTGAGTTATTCTTTAACCAAATGAAACCCTCACTTTCATTCAGAATATAGCAAGTTGAAAAAAAAATCCGTATGTGACTTTTTAATTTCTAGTTAATATACTTGAAAAGAAAAAAATAGAAATTCAAGAGAGTAATATATTTCTTTTTGTATAATTACTCTTTCATATCAAATCTTTTATTCAAAATTTATTACACCGTGCATCGCACGGGTACTATACTAGTTGATTATTATATGATGATTTCATTCCTTGATAGCGGCGCGTCACGAACAATATTTATTTAGATTCAACACATAAGATTAAACTTTTCGCAACACATAATACACCATGAAATGTTGCAAAAATAATAGCAGGGCCGGCCCTGGCGATGTGCAGGGTGTCCAACCGCACAGGGCCCAAAAAATTAGAAGAGCCCAATTTTTTTGTAGTAATATACTAGTATTACTTAGAGGTGGAGCGTATATATAGGAACGAAGGAGTAGTAAATCCTCCATTTCCATCGGTGTGAGAATTTTAAGCTTTAGAAACTAAAAAGATAAGAAACGAGACATGCGGGATTCGAACCCAGGTGAAAATAAAATCATGCACGCTGATCTCTAAACATCAACTCACTGGACCGAATCAACTAATTGTTGAAATAAGGACGTACAAGCTTTATATTACCTATTTGTTCTACAAAATAAATAATTAAAAATAACTCTTAATGAAAATCGGTCCGGTTCGGTTTGAACCGATTTTATAACTCAAAAAACCTTCATTAAACTGATTAATGTTCGAGTCCCGACTTTCGGGTCCCGTTTGAGTCGGTGCGGTTTCGATTCGGTTTTTTTAACTTGTGTTGAAACTTTGAAAAGAAGGCTCATATATTTTTGTTGCACAGGACCTTCATTTCCTCAGGACCGGCCATTGATAATAGTGCTATGAAGTAATCACACAAAATGGATCATGAAATTTCAATATTTCAAGTTTTTCTCTTTTTGGAATGTGAAATCATGTGTTTTACATAAACTATTTGCATGCTTCTTAAGTGGGTAATAAAGGTTTTGTTAGACGTTTAGAAGGTTTTCAAAATGTATAAAAACTGTCTTCAAATTTCCATGCATCATAATACAGCGTCCAAAGTGATAAAAACATAAAGGGGAATCCTAAGCTTACTTTAATTCACGTTTTGAAAGCAATGTCAAAAGAAGGAATGATACTCAATGCCATGCAATAAACACAACAAATCAACGAGGAAAACAATATCCTAGTCCAACAATTATGCTGCCTTTTTCACGCATGTCACAATAGTGATACTCATCAAATCGTAAAACTGAACCAAAAAATGAAATTTATATCCATGTTCTAGGCTTCTAAACCAAAGATCATCAATAGGTTATTCATGATCTAGCTACAAAAGTTCAAATAAGTTTACTGTCATATGAAATTTTTTAAACACTAGGCGATACCGCCATAGGGATGCTAGAAGGCCGCAGTAGCATCTGAAAAGTGTGAGCACGAAGAATCAGAATATAAAGAGCTTGTTTAGTGACGCTAAAACCAACTGAACTTGCTGAACACATTGATGTAACAATCAAATCGGCTTAATCTATCAAATTATGAAAAAAATGATATTTAAAATATAATCCATGTTTTATTAACATAAGTGAAGAAGAAAAGGCTATAATAGTTATCTTTTGCAAATTTAATCATCGTAGGAAGAAAAATAACTTCAATCTTATTTATTTTGATTATAACACAACTAAACATACAAAAATTAGAAGTAGGATGGTAAAACGGCCACAGGATGAAGATTACTCGTCTAAAGCGGGACGTCATGGCACGAATGAAGAGGACAAATACGTAGTAAGAATGAGGGTGGAATGGTCTACTTAAGGTTGTGACCAGACCAAACCGTCCAAAGTTCCAAATTATGGGTGAAGCCTATAGGTATTGTAATCTATGGACTATGATTATAGCCTTATAGGTACCTGTCCAATTCTGATTTACTTGGCCAGTTCCAACCCCGTCCAGACATTCGACTGGCCAGTTTTTAATATAACTATACATTTTTTTTAAAATGTATAATTGTGAAAATAAGACAATTACTCTTTATGTTCTCCTATAATTGTCTTATTTTTTCTTTTTTGGATGCTCCTATTATTATCTCATATCATATTTGGTAATACTTGTGTGACTCTAGTTCATTCTTACTTTATTTTTACCTTATCAACCACATAATTCTACTTTTATTAAAACTCACTCCAATCTCTTCTGTCCCAATATTAGGACGGAGGTAGTGCAAATTATACGAAATGAAATACAGACTAAGGCTATGTTCGGCAGAACAAGCTGGAACTGGAGGCTAATGTCTGAACCATGAGCTATTGTCTGAGATATTATTGTTTGGAACTGGATTTTGAAGTGCTGAATCTGAATGACTAACTGATGAAGTAGATTCATTTTCCAAAAAAACTGAAAAAGTACTTGGATAATATGAAATTACATTACAGGGCATATCCTTTATTAATATAACAAAATATTTTTTATAATTATTTTCTTAAAAATATTTTTCATTACGAATATATGTTGGACCATGTCACATATATTTGTGATGCACTCAGCAAACAGAAAAAAACTTAAAGCTGTAAAAGTAAGATAAATGAATAAATAAAAAGTGGAAATCGAACTCTGTTCACAGCACATCAGCACGAGTGGTGGCCAAAATTCAAAATAAAAGATGTTTCTAAAAATGTTAGCGTAATTTATTAGTACAAATATGAGCATAATTGGTAAATAAAGTGTACAATTATAAAAGCTGAAGTAAACGCTTGTGGCGTCAACGTTTCACAAAAGCTGTTATTTTTTCCGTGGAGCCACTATCACCCTGCTGTCCAAATAGGGCTAGAATTATTATAATTTGCATAAATAAAATATTTCAGCTCAAAATAGGCTCATCTGGGGCATCCGAACTAGGGGTGGACTGAATCGGGCCGAACCAGGTCGTGAACCGGACCAACCCGCTACTGTGCAGGCCCGGACCGTACCGGGACTGGATGGCCGGTTTCGGGCTTTAGCCCGGGTTTGGGCGGGCCTAGCTCAGGACCTGTTTTTCTTGAACCGATCCGGGTGGTCCGGGCCGGGCCCGGTTCATTTTGTTTTTTTCATTTTTTTTCTTTTCCTAGGGTAGGGATGGGTGTTTTGGGGAGGTTTGAGGGGTGGGGGTGGGGGGGGGGGGTCGAGGTTAATTAGAAAGAAAAAAAAGTATACATTGGACCGGCCCGAACCGGTTTGGCCCGGACCCGGTATCAACCCGGGCCGGTTCCGGGCCCAACATCTGATAAAAAGTTCGGCTTGAACCGGCCCGGATCCCGGTCCGGTCGATGCCTAATCCGAACACAGCCTAAGTAGTGAATGGATAAGGGTATGTTTGGCACATATAGCTGAAAAGATACTTTTATAAGCTTTTTAGTAATTGTTAGCTTTTAGTGACTGAAAAGATCTTAAAAGAAAAAGGTAGCGACTTTTTGATAGAAAGCCGACTGTTTGATTTAGCTTTGTTTGGTATACAAGCTGTTAGGACTAATTAATGCTAGAAGCTACAGACTTATTTGAGATGCTACTCACTGTAGCATCTGAAAAAAAGATCTTTTGTTTTTATAAAAGCTCTTAAAAATTGGCATGTCAAACATACAACTAAAAGCTTTTAAGAACTTTTTAAATAGTATAAAAGCTAGAAGGTAGGGACTTATGCATACCAAACATAGCCTAAACATGCTAGTAGAGGCTGTAGAGTGTAGAGCACTTGCCGAATGGAGAAATTCAGCCAATAAGCACCAGAGGTGGACCGAACCGGGTCATCCCGGGGCAAACCGGCCCGTGAACCGGACTAGCCCGCTACTATGCGGGCTCAGACCAGACCACGACCGGATGGCCGGTTCCAAGCTTTTAGCCCGTGTTGGCGGGCCTGGCGGGTCGGGCTCGAGCCCCATTTTTGGTTAACCGGCTCGGGCGGTTCAGGCCGGGTCCGATTCATTTTTATTTTATTTTATTTTTTCCATTTTTTCTTTTCCTTGGGTAGGGCTGGGTGTTTTGGGGAGGTTTGAGGGGTGGGGTGAGGGGGGGGGGGAGGGTTGAGGTAGGAATGGACCGGTTCCGGTTAGGGCCTCGGTTCATGAAGGGGAGACCCGGAACCGGCCCGGGTAACCCCCGGGTCCGGGCCGGGCCTCGGTTCTATTTTTTTTTTTTGGCTTTTCCTAGTTAACCCCCAACCCTCCCCCTCACCCCCAAACCAACCCTAACCATCTCAAATGGCCCAAAATACCCAGCCCAACCCAAAACCTAAAAAAAATCAAAATAAATAAATAAATAAATTGGCCCGAACCGGCCGGGCCGGTTCACCTTTTGAAGGGCCCGAGCCCGAACCGCCATCCCACTGGGCCAGGTGGCCCGAACCGGGCAATCAACCGGTTCACCAGGCCGGTCCGGGCCCGCACAGTAGCAAGCCGGTCCGGTTCCGGGCCGGTTGGCCCGGCTCGAGTCCACTCCTAGGTTGAGGATTAATTAGAAAGCAAAAAAAATTAAATAGACCCGAGCCCAGTCCGGCCCGGACCCGGTATTAACCTGGGCCGGTTCCGGGCCCAACAATCTGGAAAAAAAGCCCACCCAGGCCCGGCCCGTAGCCGGAACCGGCACAGGTCCATCCCTAAGCACCGGTCCATCCCTAACAGGACCAAAATAGATTCCAATCAAGAGTTTACCCTCCTCCAAGTTCCGATCCGGTCCCCTAACCAGATCCACCCCTAAGAAGGGGACCACTGTTTGTCTCGTTCTTTTTCATTTAGAATCCATCTTAACATGTTTATGTGATACGGACTATCATGAGTATATCACATTTCGTCATTCTCTGAGTCATGCATTTTGTTCAAACTAATACATACTTTACACTTTCAGTGTTAATACTGAGAATTTGTAACTTTTAATATTTTATTCCGATTCTATTATAAACTCTAAAAATATTAATTTCCAAAAAAATATTAATAAGTCCTATCCAACGACGCTCGTACTCATCCATTACAACAATTATTATTTACAAGTCGTGTCTCAAAATTTGCAACGACTGGATAACACCCTCGCAATCATGCCAGCTGCAGCCACAACATATCAACTATAGGCCTTCGGCTGAGGATTTCACAAACCCTCACTCCTATCTGTCCTGACTCTTGAAGCAGTTCTCAGCAATCTTCTTCACTACTAGAACCAGTTGTAGCCTGCAAGGCACAAAAGAAAATGTGACAGTAGATTTTGTAAGTACCCTTTGACTTGTTTGGCGGAAATTAATTTTGTTAAAGAAAATTCAGATGATCCAGCCAGTGGCGTGCCAAAATGGGCTCTGGAGGTTGAGTTTTGTTTACAATCACCAAGGAATACAACTTAAAGTACCTTGCTTAATTCACGAAGATTCCTGGAGCTTTGATCATCTCCGTTGGGTGTGGGAGTAGCTGTTTCACCATTCACACCCCTAACACTATCCAAATGAGAAATGTTGGTATTGTTAGACCCCGATTCTTCATTATGCGATATGTTATCTTTTCCCTGTTCAGCTATGGTAGGCGCGTCCTCATTTTCTACAGTGGACAGATTAGATCCTATATGAGTTGCCGCTGCTGCCTCTTCAGCCATCCTTTTTGCTTCTTCCTTTTCCCGTTTTGCTCTTGCTTCCTCTTCCTTTAACTTCTTAAACCTATAACATTAACATTATAGGAGTAAGAAACAAGGAATCAACTATATAATAATTTACTCCCTCTGTTCCAAAATGTTCTTTTAACTTCCCATTTTAGGCTGTCCCAAAAATATCTTCTCATTTCCTTTGAAGAATAATGTGGTTTGTTGTGGTTCTCTTTAAAACCAAATCTCAATCATACATTTGACTGCCTAAATAAGCAGTGTAAAAAGCAAATAAGAAAGTACTGTGGGATGGAGGAAGTAATAAAGTATGGTAAAACTTATCATCATTAAATAAAAACCTTTCACCAGGACGAAGCCCTCCTGAACTGGTTGTTGTTTCTTCTTTCTGAGGAGCTGTGGGTGCTTCAGAGAGGGACTCTATTATATTGGGTTGGTTTTTCCCAATAGCATCACCACTTAATTCCTTTATAGGATTTTTAGCACCCCCCAACTTCTGAAGCCAGACCTGCTGACCAGTGCTTAATATGTTGTTTGTGAGCCTACATTAATTTTATTTTTTCAAAAACAAAAAAAAAACTTTTAGTTTCTGAAGTATTCAAGAAAAAGTAAAATCCATATGATATACTCCGTATATGAGATACGATGGTTTAGTGGAACCTACCAGTACAAGCTTAGACCAGAAGGTACCGAAAGGGAAAAATAACCAAACAACAAGGGTAGAAACTTGGTTATGGCTTGGGAGGTCTTCAGGTTTGGATCATTGCTCTGGAAGGATATTTACAAGACAAAATTAGCCAGAATAATAAGACACATTAGACGTTAAATGTGTATTATTCCATCTTTTTGTGTAACTTCAAATTGAACACACCTGCGATGGTTGCATGATTTGTATGGAGATGTATTGGGAGATAACCAGCAGCACAGGCAAGACTAGATAAGCCAAAGTATCTGGCCACCCAAGAGGGGGTTGCCCATCCTGCAAATAGAAACTCCACTATAAGAATACATAAAGAACCAGGCAGTGAAATTACAACACATTATTATATACTTGATGAATCCCAGTTAAGAGATTTAGCAGGAATAATAAAAAAGGTTCATCACCAAAGTAATTTAAATGTTGTTTATGGTTTGAAAAATGCTTGACGCACCATATGCAATTGTAACTAACTCATAGAAAACAAACCAATCCCAAAATGAAGAAGGTGATGGATACATCAATTACCAATTGCAATCATTATAATTAAATTAAAACCAGTGTGAAAGGATAACTTCAATTGAACACGAAGTATGTAAATTCATCCAAAGAGAATGATAGACTACTAGAAAGTGCTCAAAGGCAGGTGATACATGAGTTAGCAAATAAAACTATTTGCCATACGCAGTAAAAAAAAATACAGAAAATGAGAGCCTAGAAAAGAGCAAGAGCGCTAAGGCATCCAAATACACTAATTCCCCCAAAAAATAATAAAAAACAGCAATTGACTTACAAAAAAAGGAAAAAGCCAAGAGGTGCCTGAACGAGAAGCGATAGTTGTCGGTCCAGCCAGTGATGGTATCCAGAAGAATCCTTCAGTAAGAAGTCCCTTCGTATTAAATTTAACTCCGAGTTAGATGTGTATGTAAGATATTGGGTAAGACTATACCAGAAAAGCCTCAAACTGAACCCCATAACCATCAGAAAGTTATCAAAAAGCCCAAGGACGAGAAAATGTTTTCTACCTCATTGGCCACATTAGAGAGGGCTCTATAGAGCCCAATCCATATAGGAATAGTAGCAAGTGTTGGCAGACACCCTAACAACAATAGAGGAAAAAAAGCTCAAGCATAGCGGTTTGAGTTATTGGAATGGTATAACAGAAAGTAGATATAAATTCTCTCAGTGTCTGAGATCAAAGAAATGCAAGATCTTAGATAAAGCACCTGCCAATGGGTTTATGCCAGCCAATTTATATAAACGCGCAGTTTCAATTTGTATTCTCTCCTGCAAAAGGTAGAGAGGTTTAAAAAGATATGAGGAAGCGTAAAAGATTTTTTTTTTTTGATAAAAAGAAATCCCAAGAAAAACCAAGTGCAAGGCACAAGCTTGTCAATAATATATAATAAGAAAAAGACTATGTGATTTTAAAAAGTAAACATGCCGTAGGACATGAGCTCAGGATTCTCACACAGCATTACATTTGAATAAAAAAAGTATGAGTGCTTCTCTATGATTTTGAATCAATAGATGTGTACAGTCCAAATACTTAAATCAATAGGATTCAAAGAGTAATGATAGGTTATGAACAGATTCCACTAACTTGATCACCAGCATAACGTTCCTGAATAGCTTTTATTTGAGGGGCCAAACTTTTCATTGCCATTGCAGATTCCACCTAAAACATAAAGAGTTAAGAAGCCATTGAAAAAAGATACCAATAAATTGTATAAAAATCACTTGAACTCAAAGAAAGTTTTTAGTAAAAATTAACTTGCAAAGCACACTGAACATCCAATCAAACAATCATGATTAAAAAAATACAGAGAAATAACCTGTTTCTTAGTCAGAGGAAAAGTTGCAGTCTTTACTAGTACTGTGAGCAGTATAATTGCAAATCCATAAGCATAGGGCACATGAAGAGTCGAAAGCCCATCCTTCAACACCTGAAAGTAAAGTATCAATCTTATTAATTTCTAGTAGATTGAAGCACTGAACGAGCGACTTAATATGTTCATTTATAATGCACCATAAAACTTCATCAAACAGTTTGAGGCTTTTAGCTTAGTTAGTACTTAGTATGTATCATTTAATGTAGTCTTGGATATCACTTCAGCTAGTAAATCTTCAATATTTTGTTTTCTTTGAAGTTTGAACACAACTACAGAGTCCAAACTGATGTTTGAAAAGACACGAGCTTTCATTTTTCATCTAAAATTTGATTTAATAAAAAATGATTTTGGATAGTTGACAGTTTACAAAATCAACATGATTTAAGTAATTTAATTTAGGGAAAATAACTTTAAATAATACCATTTATCGCCCATAAACCAATAAAAAAAATTTGGAAAATGAAAATATATCAAGCCCCCCTTTGTCCCCAAATTAAACTTTGTGTTTTCGTTTTTGGTTCGTCTCAAATTAATCTTCATAATTTTTAATCATTTCAGTCAATTCTACCCTAATTTTTCAACCACTTCCTTAATGAGGGATTCAAATCCAAACATCTCTACTTCAGCACGTAGGGAGTAATATATTTAAAATGCACCATAAGTCCATAAAATTTCATCAATTAGTTTGAGCTTGGTTTCTGAATTGCTAAAAAATTGCCATGTCTCCATGGCAGGCATAGCTCAAACAGAAAACTGTAATTTACTCGATGTAATCTTGCATGTCACTTCAGCTATTTTAGATATTAAAAAACTTGCTTTCTTTGGAGTTCGAACACTGTGACATAGAGTCCAGACTACTGTTACTGTGTTACACAATATACTAAGTATGGATAACTAGAGAGAAGTCAGAGCAGAGCTTAAAAGCACCCAGTATGGATAAACAACAACTTCCAAGCCTTACTCCCAAAGATTTTGGAGAAAAGCACCGAGTATGGATAACAATTTAAATTTTGCAAACCTTCAAAACAGTCTCCATCGTATTGGTAATTCCAGAAAGCCAGTCACTATTCTGTTTAGCAGTCTCTGCAGTAGTAGCAGCCGTACCCACATCCGGTGAAGCTGAAACAGCCGCATCCGCGACAGTATACAAGAATCCTTCCACTCGATCATACAAGCTCTTCATGAGTAAGGCTGCATCTTCCGGTTCTTGAAACGGACCCTGCCCAAGTCCGAACCGGGTAACACCCAGCGTGCCCCGCAGAAAGGGCTTTTGAGTGAGAAGGTTCCCGAGATGGGTTCGGGTGGAAATTGGGGATAGGGTTCTAGTTCGGAACGGAAATGGTGATAGGGTTATCTTGGGTCCGAGTGGGAGAACAAACGTAGCCATTTTTGCAGTATCCAAACCCTAGATATTGCCGAAATGGATTGGATTGAAAAAAAAATCCACTTTCCTCTTCTGCTTCCAGTTCTCCTGCAGTTTGAATGGGGATAAGACGAATGAGAAATGAAGTCTAAGAAGTTCAGGAGTCACAAGGCGAAAAATGCAAAAAAAAAAAGAAGAGAAAAATCTTGAATTCATGGGTATAGCACCTCCTTTGGCATAGCGGTGCAAAGTGTGTGCTTAAACAAGTTTTTTTTGGGTGTGCTTAAATCTTATACGGTACATACATTTTTAGAAATTAAGTAATTACCTTTCAGAAAAGAAAATCCTATATATATATATATATATATATATATATATATATATATATATATACATACATATACTTAAAGGGAGAATTCATCTCCCTAAAACTTCCCGCTTCTCTCTCCTAATTATAAACCATATAATAATAATTACAATTAATAGTATTAAGTTTCTTTTCAGTTTATAATTACAAACCATATAATGATAATTATAATTAATGGTATTAAGCCTCTAATAATAATAATAATAATTAATGATATTAATTTTCTTTTCAGTTTAATTGTATTCAATTTCTTTTCCAACTTAATCGTATTCCTCATATTCAATTATATATACACATTTAGTTGGTTTTCCACTCATGTTCTTTTTTTTCTCAATCCTTTTAATTTACCGTTCTACTTTCCGTCATTTTATTCTTCCTTCTTGTGAAAATGATTCATTAGTAGACCTCCCTGGAGTAAAAAAAATGTACTACCTCCGTTCCACTAACACTGGGACATGAAGATGTGGTGCAGTTATTGAAAAAAAGAGTTTTTGTGATTGATATTTAATTGATAAAGTTAAAATGATTTAGAATCATACAAACCTTTCCAAATTTGTAATGGAAAATTTTAGTGGGACAAATAAAAAGGAAAGACTGAACAATCTTAGCAAGACGGAAGGAGAAACTCATATCGAACTAATTTATCGTACAAGTGTATTATCTTGTGTAAATAATGATTCTAAATTAAAATTTGGAACAATTATATAAATATTAAATTAAAATATAAGAAATTACACCCCGTGCAACGCACGGGTGAAAAACTAGTACTCCGTAGTTTTCAAAATTGATTGGGCACGATGTCTGAAAAATAAAAAATAATTGTAATTGATATTTTCGGAAAAGAAATAGATATATAGAATACATAAAAATATGTAGAAAATTGTCTCCACATCTATCGTCTCCTAGTACCACCACCGCACATCTTACCATTGGAAAAATGTGTCTTGGATAAAGAATGTCATATTCTCCTAAAAGTGTCATGAAGATTGATGATAACATAACTATGTGAAAATAATTATGATTGTTTCCACAATTTGATGATTACTTTCTGTGAAATAATGGGAAATGATATTTCAATAAGAGTTCTGGCGTGTGTATATATAATAAGAGAGTATTAAGTACAATAGGAAACAAATATGCCTAAACATGTTCTAGGAAACAAATATTCCTAGATATATTCTAATACACCCCTTCAAACTGTGTGGTAGATACAACGCGCAAGTTGTCCTTTTAAAAAATGAAACTGGTGATAAGAAAGACTATTGGTAAATATATTTGCTAGCTTTAACTAAGTAGGAACATATATCACAACTAAATCTCCATGAGCCACATGTCACGAACAAAGTGATAAGTCTATTTGAATATGCTTGCTGCGAGCATTTTGAACTGGATTAGCAGTCAAGTAGGAAACATAGATATTATCACAAAATAACTAACATTGATCTTTAACAGGGAAACCAAGCTTGAATAATACATAACAAATATGAAAAGTATCATGCACAGTGTATATAATAGGCTAATAGCCCTATATTCCGCCTGTGTAGAAGACTTGGAAACTGTTGGCTGTCTTTTGGACTTCCAATAGACCAGATTCGACCCCAAAAAGATAGCAAAAGCCAGTGGTAGAGCGAGAGGTATCTGGACAAACGGCCCAATCAGCATCAAAATAGGCAATAACACAAGTGGCTCGTGTAGTGGGATGAATCCACAACCCATGATGAAGTGTTCCATGCAAATATCTAAAAATTCTCTTGACTGCAAATAAATGAGTAGTATAGGGAGCATGCATAAACTGAGACACTAAATGCACAACATAGATAATATCAGGTCTTGTCAAAGTTAAATACTACTACCTCCACCCCGAAAAGGTTTGTCATATTGACTTTTCTTGGTCAATGATGACAAACTTTGGACAACGATTTTAATTATTACATTTGTATATAATTTATAAATTTTACGTAGTATAATTTTATGAAAATATTTTGAATAAGGAACATTTTGATATAATTTTCATATTCAAAATAATTTCGTATTAAAATATATCATTGGTCAAAGTTGAATGTCATTGACCAAGAAAAGTCAATTTGGCGAATCTTTTCGGGCTGGAAGGAGTATAAAAGACCTATCATACTACAATACTCAGTTGCATCTGCAAGAAGCTCTCCATCACTGACATGCAGAGAAATGCGAGTAGCAAGGGGGTATAGAAAAATTTAAGAGTACGGAGATGGAAACGAGAGAGAAGGTCAAAGACATATTTATGCTCACATAAAAACAAACCTTTAGCTGAGCGGAAAGCTTGGACTCCAAGGAACTACTCCTTCCGTCCCATAAAATTCTTCTCACTTTCCTCTCTAGACCGTCCCAAAAAATTCTTCTCACTTACTATTTTTGGACAATTTGTGTGGTTCACATTCATTTCACTTTTTTCTTAAACAACCACAACCATACATGTCCACTTTATTCCACTTTCTTAATCTCCATGCCAATTCAAAGTGGGAAGAATTTTATGGAACAGAGGTAGTAATGGAGATCACCAAGATCCTTCAAAGCAAAATGATGAGCAACAAGTCGAATAAAAGAAGTGACAACAAAAGAAGAATTAATGGTGATAATAATGTCATCCACATAAAGTAATAAATAAATGACACGCTTATCCTGGCGATAAATAAACAGAGAACTAACTGACTTGTTGCACACAAAATTATGAGATAACAAGAAACTACTGAAAGGATGAAACCGTGCCCACGGAGCTTGCTTAAGATCATAAACGGCCTTTCGCAATCGACAAATGTGATTAGGAAAAAGAGGATGAACAAAGCCCCGTGGTTGACGCATATATACCTCCTCAGTAAGGTGATCACGAAGAAATGCATTTTTGACATCTAACTGACAAACAACCCACCCAAAAGAAATAGCTAACGTAAGAAACATACGAACAGTGGTGGGTTTAATAACAGGACTGAAAGTCTTAGAAAAATCTACACTTACCCGCTGGTCAAACCCCTAAGCAACCAAATGAGCTTTATAACGCTCAATAGACCCATCTAAATTAAACACAGTCTTATAAATTCACTTAGAGCCCACATATTCTTAGAGTTATCAAACGGGACTAGATCCCAAGTATTATTACAAATAAGAGCATTACATTCATCAGCTATTGCTTCACACCATTTCAACTGTTTATTAGCCTCAAAAAACAAGTAGGATCATCCGATGAAACAATCGTATTTAAATTAAAAAAGGTTTTGGGTTTAAAAATCTCGGATTTAGCCCGAGTTTTCATTGGATGAATATTAGCCAAGGGACCATTTAGGACAGTACAAGAGGAAGGGTTGGGGATGGTCCTGGGTTGAGAGAGCAATTGACGATTGGAACTGTCTGCAGGTGGGAGAAAGGAATCTGGTAAGGTGGTCAGACATGTGGTTGAGGGTGAGGGTGATGCTGGTGTTCGGCACTGCCCTGGGGAGAGGGTCTGCTGCTGCAACGGTGTTGGCAGTGCCCTAGGGAGAAGGTCTGTTGTTGCTACGGTGTGCTGCAACGAACAACCGAACAGGGGAAGGGGGGTGAAGCTGCATGTCGGTTCGGGTGACTGTGGATCAGGTAGGGCTGCAGTAGGGGGGTGAAGTGCAGTGTTGGTAAGTAAAAATTCAGTTGACGAGCTAGGTGAGTGAGTGGCAGTCGTAGAAGAAGTCAGAGTGGCAAAAAAGGAAAAATATTTTTATGAAAACGAACGTGTCTATCGATAAAAACTTTACTAGTCTTGAATCCAAGACAACGATGCTTTTTAAAATCAGATGCATAGCCAATAAAAACACATTAAACAGAACGAGGAGAAAGTTTATTGGAGGAAGAAGTGAGAAGCAGAAAAATCATGATAACAAGCGTACCCAAAAACACGCAAAATATTATAGTCTGGAAATTTGTGAAAAAGTTATACACGATTGTAAAAATAGCATCAACCCAAAAGATGCTAGAAATAGAGGTAGTAATAAGCATAGTCCTAGCAAGTTCAAAAAGATGACAATGTTTGCGTTCAGTAACCCAATTTTGTTGAGTAGTATGGGAGCAAGATTTTTTAAAATATATACGATGTTCAAAAAAATTACTGCATATTAAAATTAACAAACTCACCCAATCCATCACTTTGGAAAACCTTAATTTTAGCATTAAATAAATTTTCAACTAAATGTTTAAAGATATGAAAATGATTTAAAACCTCACTTTTAGTGTGCATAGGGTAAAACGAAAAAAATCATCAATGAAGCACACATAATATTTAAAACCTAGATTGGAGAGAACAGATGATTACATTACATCAGAATGAATTAATTGCAACGGAGAATAAGAAGAATGACTAACTAGCATCTGAAAAAATATAATCGGTGAGATTTTCCCAAGCTGCAAGAAACAGAATCATGATTAAAATAAGAAGAACTAGAAATAAGTTTTTCAGCACGCAACATGTGTAAAATACTTTCACCACAATAACCTAATCTACGGTGCCACACATGGCTTGATGTAATAAGGGAAGCTAAAGCAATATGTGCGGGAGGACGGAGCCTGATGGGATAGAGATGTCCATTATGGTGCGCCCCAAGAAGTACTGCCCCCGAAATTTTGTCTTTGACAAGAAAAGAACTTTTATAAAAAATGACAATACAGTTGTTATCAGCACACAATTTTTGAATTGAAATTAAGTTAAATTTAATATGGGGCACATGATAAGCTGAAGTTAATGAAAGTGGGTGGCTGGGGGTATTTAAAGTAATATTACCAATATTTTTAATGGGAAGTGGACACCATTTGCAACATTAACGGACATGGATCATTATAAGCATATTTATTAGACAAAATACCTTCAGAGGAAGTCATGTATGTGAGCTGATGCACCAGAGCCTGGATACCACAAAGCATCGTGAGATTCCCCCGTAGGAGCAATCAGGGCCGG